TCAATTTTGTGCAAACATCACCACTATCCATTTGCAAAACTTTTTCATCATCCCAAATAGAAGCTCTGTACTGATCAAATAACTCTCCATCTCCCCTTTGTTAGCAACCACAATTCTTTCTGTATCTATGAATTTACCTGTTGTAGATATGTCATGTTCTACATTTTCCTCTAATCTCCAAACTCCAATTGTGAAAGAGATTCAGGTCAAGACTGATTTAGAGCTATCATGTTAACAAACAAATCATACCAATGTATCTAGAAATGCTAAATGCTAAATATCTGAAAACTGCAAGCTGGAACGATTCTATATTAAGATTCTACAAAAAAATCAATGGTATCATAATAATAAAAAGACTAATGGGTTTAAAGACTATTTCTAGTGTTTAACAGAAGGTTCTAAAAATATTGCTTTCTTACCTGCAGTGAACAATCATAGGTGTGGTGTCATGTGCTCTGCTTGCTCGAATTAACTTCACAAAGTGAATTAGAGGAGCACTGTTTTCAGGAACCCCATGTTCAGGCCAAGCTGTAAAGTTACACTGCCGAACGGTCATGTAATCCCCATGCTAGAAAAAGTGACAGATTAATGAATGATAAAATTATTTAAGTAACACAATGAAGGTTTAAGATAATTGATATCACACTTTTTAAAGGCTATCTTTTAAAAACAGCTATTTACCAAACCGAACAGTCTGTTTTCATTATTTCTTATAAGAGAGATCTTTTAGTGTTACAATAAAAAGAACTACCTTCCAGTATGAATGGAAGCAATAAGAAAGCTTGGAAATAGATGTTAATATAGAGTATTAATATTCAAATGCAGTATAACATTTTGTAGTACTCGGATTAATAGATTCTGAAATAATTTTCACCCAAAAGTTAAACACATTCACAAATTATTCAAAACACAGGAAATGAGAGTCCTATATGTCAGAAAGTATAAAGACCTTTATATCATTTTCTGTGTATATAGCCATTTTATAGACCAATAAAGTGGGATCCTGCACTATCTCTTCTATATTCATTCTGGATTAAAAAGAAAATCAAATTGTTAACACTTAAATAGAGATGACTGATTTAAAAAAACTTGCTGTCTCAAGTCAAACATTACAATTTCTTCATTAAATAAATGAACCCAGTGATCTAATTGCTTTTCCTCTTTTTTCTGCTCATGTTTAATGCTAATTTGTTGATACGCACTTTAACCATGTGATATTGGAATTAAACACAATGGCAGATACTGAGTTAGATGCCAAATGAAAATTCTGTTTAGAAAACAATAGAAAAAGCATTATTGAAGATATAGGTGTCCTTGAAAGGGATAGTTCTAGAAGTTAATTTTACTTTATACATCTAGATCATTCACATTTTTTTATGCCAGGTTCCCTCACCCCATTTTTTTTACCCTTTCAATTTTCAGATCCCTGATGGTCCAATCTATTTGAACATCCTCCATTAGCTTTGTAATCACTATATCTCCAAAGACAGTAACTGGCTTGTTGTCCTCTGGCCAATATTGATGGCATCTGATCTGCATTCAGAGAAAATCACCAGTCATAACAGTCATTGCAATATTGATCCATATCACAGTTACTGCTACTAAGTTAAAATAGCTTTATAGATGTCCAAGTTATTGATGACTCACAGTACTGGCTGAAATAGTCCCACATATGTTAACACAACTGTAAAATAACATTTTGTGAAAAGAATTTTTAAAAACTTACCCGCCCTTTTTCAAAACACTGGGTTAGCATTACTAATGTTTTTGCTCTGGTTTCCCAAACCATTCTCCAAAAATCTCCAACTGTTCCTGGTAGTGGACCTTGAGTAGCAATAAATTCATTTGGACATAAATAGCCCTAGAAGGATAAAATTACATACACTTCATCACTAGTTATATAGATACATACAACTAATTGTTCTTAAAATTTTTATCTAATTTTTGAATAAAACATTAAAACTACATAATAGTAACAATAATATTGAACCTTAATCAAGGTCTCACAAAGTCTGGGTCTTTTTGGCAGGCAATATGCTAAGCATCTTATATGTAATATTTCAGCTAATTATTTCTTATAAAAACCTTATGAATGAATACAAATAGTATTTTCATTTCATAGATGAAGATATTGAAGACTAGAAGGAAAGAAATCATTTGCCAAAGTTCACCATTGGCAGTCAGCCCAGAGCCAGCCCTCTTACCCACACCACTATGTTTCTGTCATGGGTTGTGCAGATATTTTCATACTCTTCCACCAAGAAATTATTTATCTACTTATACTTTGGCATTAGTATTTAGTCTCTAGAGCTCTGAACCAAGAAAAATGTGAAGGTAATATGAAAGTTCATTTTGCTAATGCAATATACTCATAGGACCTAAGATTTGTCTCAACTGTATTATAACATCCTCGTGCATACTATCAAATTGTTCTGAAACTTGGTCCATTCACCTGGAACAGCATGCCACTTTAGTTTATATAATTGATAACAATATTTGTAGATTTTTCTTTATTTTTTAGAGGTGGAGTCACCCTCTGTTGCCTAGGATAGAGTGCAGTGGCATCATCACAGCTCACTGCAGCCTCAAACTCCTGGCCTCAAGTGATCCTCCCACCTCAGCCTCCCAAAGTGTTAGGATTACAGGCATGAGTCACCATGCCCAGCTTTTAGATTTTTCTTAAA